TGCGGTTGGTATCCTGCATGTCGGCACAGCCAAAAGCTTGCATTCAAGTGACTGGAAGTACATGGGAGGCGATTCGGGGCCGCCTCCAAGAAATAAGCCCTTGTTCCGCCGCTCCAGGATAGCGTGGCTAACTACCTGGAGGTCTATCCTAGCCCGCACGACAGAGCCTGGCAAGCTACTCGTGTGCCTTCAATATGCCGAAAACAGCAATATGGATGGGCCTCATTCCCCTGAACCTGAGGGAGCCCCCAATACGGCAGCGTTGGGTAGGACCGCTCGGGAGAGGCTGCTAGAATCTCAGGGCCCGGATAGGCTGCCTAAACGAAGAAGGACTAAGATGGCGATCTGTACTTTCAACGCACGAACGCTTGCATCCGAAGCTCACATCGAAGATCTGATGATGCAGGCCAGGAAGATCAAGTACGACGTCATCGGACTGACCGAGACGAGAAGGCACCGCCCGCTACACGCCGTTTTCGATACTGGAGAAGAACTGTTCCTTGGAACATGCGACAGCAGAGGCGTTGGCGGTGTGGGTGTCCTCGTCAACACGCACTTGGCCATAAACATCGATTCGTACGAAAGCCTTACGACCCGAATCGGACGTTTGAGATTGAGAAGATGTGGTTCAACTCCTGCTTTGACAATCTTCGTCGCCTACGCACCAACATCCAGCTACGACGAAGAAGAACACGAAGCATTCTATATGGAATTGGAGAAGTTCTACAGGGAAGATCATACCTTCTTCAAGGTCATCGTCGGCGACTTCAACGCTAAGATTGGCCCAAGAAGAACGGCTGAAGAACTTCACATCGGTACTCACGGAATGGAATGGAATGAGCAGGGTGAGAGACTGTCGGAGTTTATCATGTCGACCAACACCATCCATGGTAACTCACAGTTCCAAAAGCCCCCTCACCTTCGTTGGACTTGGGAGTCACCTGATGGACAGTTCCATAACGAGATAGACCACATCATCTTCAATCGAAGGTTTTGCCTGACCGACGTCGCTGTTGTTCCAAAGTTCTACACGGGATCGGACCATCGTCTCCTCCGCGCAAGATTCCACTTCTCGATGCGTGTTGAGAGAGCAGCAAAGTTCAGGAAGCGAAGCCCAGGACAGTCATCAACTGGGACCACTTCGCTTCCCTCGTCAGCTTATGGGAGGATTCCGTCATCGAAAACATCGACGAGGAGTACTATCGGCTCGTTGAACATCTTCACGATTGTGGCAAGAAGGCAGAGAGTTTGAAAGTCACCAAGGGACGTCTGTCTCCGGAAACTCTCGAACTGATACGCCAGCGTGGAGCCGCACGAGCTGCAGGCAATCACCGACTCACGTCCGAGCTTGCGAAGCTATGCAGAGAGGCGATAAAGGAAGATCTCAAGGAGCGACTGAAGCAGCAGAGGCTGGGAGGAGCATCCGCAATGCCCGCCGAAGCTTTGCCAGCTACAAGACCAAGATGACCTGCCTCCGACGTCCGGATGGAACAGTTACTGCATCCCGAAGGGCAATGGAGAAAGTCATCCACGACTTCTACTCGGATCTCTTCGATAGCCATGTCCATCTGCCTACTTATCAACCGCAAGAGGATGGATACGTTGTCCCCTCAGTTCTCTCTTCCGAAGTCCGACACGCCATCAAGTCGGTGAAGAATTGTACAGCGCCCGGTCTCGACAGGGTTAAACCGGAACATCTGAAGAACGCACCGCCAGTTATCATCAAAACTCTGGCTCGACTCTTCACGCGCTACCTGTCGGAATGCAAGGTACCCACTCCGTGGAAAACCAGCAGGACCGTGTTGCTGTACAAGAAGGGAGACTGGACGACATTGGCAACTATCGCCCAATCTGCCTGCTGTCTGTAATCTACAAGCTATTCACTCGAGTCATCCTTAACAGGATCGGCAGAATACTAGATGAAGGACAGCCATGCGAGCAAGCAGGGTTCCGAAGAGGGTTCAGCACGATCGACCATATCCACACGGTTACGAGACTCATTGAAGTTTCACGAGGAGTACAAGATGCCGCTTTGTCTCACGTTCATCGACTTGAAGAAGGCCTTCGACTCTGTGGAGACAGAAGCGGTCATCGAAGCCTTGGGCAACCAGGGCGTCCCTACTCAGTACATCAAGATTCTTCGTGAGCTCTACAGCAACTTTACGACCAGAATCTCACCATTCTACAAGGAGGTCATCATCGACGTCAAGAGAGGGGTCGACAGGGCGACACCATCTCGCCCAAACTCTTCAGCGCCGCTCTCGAGAACGTCATGCGTCAACTGGAATGGGAAGACATGGGAGTGAAGGTCGACGGCCGGCAACTACACCACCTTCGTTTTGCTGACGACATCGTTCTTATAACGCCGAACATCGAGCAAGCGGAGCGAATGCTGGCTGATTTCGACTGCGCCTGTGGTAAGGTTGGTCTACAGCTGAACCTAACGAAGACGATGTTTATGAGAAACGGATTGGTTCCTGATGCCCCATTCACGCTCAACGGAACGAACATCACCGAATGCTCCAGCTACGTGTACCTAGGTCGGGAAATCAATATGATGAACCGATCCTAGCTCCAGCTGAGCAGGAGGAAACGAGCGGCATTGGGGAGCGTACAAGAACATCGAGGGAGTAGTGAAGAAGACGAAGAACATCCGGCTCCGTGCCCACCTCTTCGATTCCGCTGTCCTTCCTGCCCTAACCTACGCCTCAGAGACTTGGACTCTGCGCAGGCAGGACGAGCATGCGGTCAGCGTTATCCAACGCGCTGTCGAGAGGACGATGCTAGGAGTAACCCTATACACGCAAGTGCAGAGGGGAATCCGGAGTGCCGAACTACGCCAACGATCGAAGATCAGGGACGCTGCCGTTTTCGCCAAGGAATCGAAGATAAGGTGGGCCGGACACGTCATGCGATTTTGCGATGACCGTTGGACCAGAGCGGTTACCGACTGGATCCCTCGGGACGTCAAACGAACACCTGGACGACCGCCGGCCCGATGGTCAGACTTCTTCACGAAAGCTCTGAACGAAAGGAATGATGGACTTCGTGTCCCTCGAGCAAGGAGGATCCACTGGACCACTCTAGCACGCGACAGGGACGAATGGAGACGTTGCTGGCGCCCGCTCGAGCAAATCGACGATCAACGGGACGACAGGTGATACAGGTGATAGCATATATTATGGAGTTGCACAGACATACATAACTTCGTATAGCATATATTATACATAGATTAGTTTACAAGAATGCTGGGTTGTGAACAAAACTTTCGCCCCAGGCGGGACTAGAACCCGCACCTCTCGCTTTCCGGGCAAGTGCGCTACCAGTTACGCTACCGGGGCACCATTTCATTCCAACTCAGCTTTTCATGGTATACGTACCATAGCTTTCAGCACTCACACGTCTAACGTGTTGAGCCGGTTAGCCGATATCGGCAATGACCGCGAGGCTGAAAGCTTTAGCAATGAATTTTGACTTGTTTTGTTTGTTAACTGCTGTTTTAACGCCGCAGTTCGCGTTGCGAATGTTTTTAAACAAACAAAACAAGTCGAAATCCACTACTAAAGCTTTCAGCCTCGGCTGGCTCATTGCCCGATTATCGTGCTAACCGGCTCAACACGTTAGACGTGTGAGTGCTGATAAGCTATGGTACATATACCAAGCTGAGCTGAGTTGGGAATGAAATGGTGCCCCGGTAGCGTAACTGGTAGCGCACTTGCCCGGAAAGCGAGAGGTGCGGGTTCTAGTCCCGCCTGGGGCGAAAGTTTTGTTCACAACCCAGCATTCTTGTGAAACATTCGCAACGCGAACTGCGGCGTTAAAACAGCAGTTAACAAACAAAACAAGTCAAAATAGATTATAGAATTTTTAGACCTCCACATCAATTTATGTGTGATCCACTTTTTCAAATCGGGGGGGGGGGCACTATGATATGGCAGATCGCACCTTCTTTCATTGTCCACTTAGCTAAAGTCAACACGTTGGGCAAAATTCCGTTACAGCATTTGCACGAATTATCACCGTGTAGGCGCTCTATCTTAATTCTTTTCTTCTCCTTTGTCTTTTCATTTTATTCACTTTCGGGATTGTTACAAAATCCCTAGACATTTCTCGTACATATATAGTAAAAGAGGCTATACCTCTTATACTCAGAAGTAGGGATTGCGCTGACGGGGTAATACTGGTCAGAATGGCAAAGAAGGTTAATTTTTGCGCCGTAGCGCTTCCATCTAGGAACAAAGAGGGTTCGCGATCGCTGGGCTAGTTCAGCAAAAGCCTCCCCAAAACTCCTCACTGCACTTGGGCTGGACCACTCTTGTGCTTATATCGTAGGTCTGAAAATATAAAAACAAAAATGTAGGATCCCAGAGTTATTACACTACAACAAAATTCCAAAATCCTCAAAGTAGAGAGGCCAGCAGATTTTTGGAATAGAAATAATGGTTGTAACTGTGATCAACAAGGTATAGTCTGTAGTGTTACAGACACGAACAATCACATGTATTCTGAAATACAGTGTCAGAAAAGATCGAAGAAACATGGCCCGGTGACTGTCCGGCGATCACGATGTCTTATTTTGACCACCTACCATACCGTTGGCAAGAATGACGCGGCAACTACCGCATAAAAGGCCTAGTGAAACACAAGTAATGGTCCTCTACATCAGATTGGCGTCACGCCGCCACCGCGTTCCGTCCGGTCCTACCATCACTCGCTCCACCACTTCGCCACCCAGTTATTCTATCTAATCTCATCGTATACTAATTCGTCATTTGCTGTTAGTTCTATAAGTTCTATAAAATAGTTAAAATAGTTCTATAAAGATGCTGAAGTTGAAAAGTTTTACTGTGACCACGAGTAAATAGGGTACAACACACGCACACCACACACGGTTTTGACTACAGACATGAAAATAAAAACTTTCAAGGGGAGTCATACTAATTCTATTAGTGAGAACAGGTTTTGCATAACTATCTGATAATTGTTGCAGTAGGTAGGTATGACGGTAAGGAAGCTAAAAACCAGAATTTACGAACGTATGGCTAATAAGCTGCATACTCCACAATACGATTACTTCCATAGTTGCAGATAAGGTTCAGTGTTTTGGTTCTGGATTCACTTGATGATAGCGATGAACCAACCTCACTGGATAAAGAAGTTATGGATTGAACTACTAATGACACTTTATCCATTTGGGCTAATTATAATATTAAGGGCCATTTTATATCACGAACATTGACAATCCATTTATATTCGGAAAATTCCCCTTTTATGATTAAAATAGTCAAATTCAGACAGAGTGACAGACAGAACTGAAGTCTAACGTTCAAAACAGAAAAAAGGGATAGTAATCACATCATGTTCTATCGGAAAAGAAGAGAATAATCTCTCTCGTTAGACTGGTATCGCTAATTCAAAGGTTCAAAATAAAGTGCGGATCAATGAAATAATCAAACTTTCACTGAATCCTAAATTTTCAGAAATATTGGTATAAACAAAAAATTGCCTGTTTTATTGGTACAACAATACATTTTTTGAAGGCTAAAAATAAACTTAATTATCATGGTATTATAATGTACTATACTTATACTACTACTACTACTTACTGTACTTATTATTATGTACTATAATATTTCCTCACTACTGCCTCATGCAGTATTTCGAATAATCATAAATAAATACAACTAGATGCATACAAGTGCCGCTTAGAACGCTTAGAACTCAAAAAAGCAACTATTAAGAAGAATCTAGCGACTACCCAGATTTGATAGATTATGTTGGTAAAGATAGTATTACGACAAAACTTTATAGAACGGAGGTTTTTGGTTTTAATTGTAGGGTTTCCACCTAGTTCCATCAACATATCTGTGGATAATAAAAGAGCGGTATCACACTGAAACACTCAGGGTCCCTAACACAAGAACAGTTTTTGATGCTTTCTTTACCAACAGAACATACATGGTTTTCAGAGCGTACATATAAAACAAGTTTATAACTATGAATATGTCACAGTTTCTTCAGAAGCATATTAGGTCTCTTGTAAGCATTATGCTGAGAAGTAGTCGCTGTTATGTTTTTGACACTATTTTGTCGCCAATATGTATTTTCATCCCTAACGATATGTGCAGTAACACCATACTGCAGTGTGGCATGAAGTAGGGTGAACATCAACGATATCAGTCAAAATTAGAGAAATGTAATCTAAAATCTTTCACATTCATGTTTAGTGACTCTTGCGTAGTTAATAATTTTTATTTATGCGCTGGAGTTTTTAATTAACTCATTCTTATTTACATACTCACCACTACTGTGATCAATCCCCCTGAAATCTTCGAAGCTTAACTTACTGGTGAGCCTAAAGAGTTGACGGAATACAGTGATGCGTCTGAGTGAGAGCCAAATGCATTCATGTTTATTCCAAATATTCACTAGTCTAGCTCTCTCCGCCGACATCATGTCCACCTCCGCCCACAGCCTAACTAGCCTCACTCATTGGGTACTGGTATTTTATTCACTTATTTTTGTTACCTCACGATTTTTATGTGTTTAATCTATTATGATGTTTGTTTTCGTCGTTTCACAGGGCCTTGGAGAAACCAGATATAATAGATTAATAACACACAAGGATCTGACACCGAGTTCAGGTCATAGCCGTCAGAAAAGCCTGCTGGATCGACACCAGTGCATTTTTCTATCACAAGCTCTGATCTGAAAATAACTATCATATTCCTCACGGCGATGTATCCGAATGCAAGAAGTGCAACTCCGAGGCCGAGATAGAGTCCGCAATAGAATAGCACATTTGACGAGAACACCTCAATGTCGAGCTCGTTTCTTGAGTGATTTCTTTCGCCAGCAATCAGCGTGTCTGCCATTCCTGAAAATGGTTCAATGTTTTTGCTTTGAGAAACCTTCAAAAACAGTCATAATAGCAAAGTTCCTCCAACTTTAATTTCTCGATTTCAAAATGCTTACTAAATTTTTCTGGTCCTAGTCGCAATTCATGGCATATCAAAGCATTCTATGATCGTCATTACAAATCGTCTCTTAGCCCCATGCCCCTCGAAGAACCATAGGAATATGTCTTGATGATGGAAAAAAGACGATCGGCATATTGATTAATCAGTTACGAGAAAATACAGCTCATCTCCTGATTGAATGATTAACGACCTTTTTCAGAAGGAATCTGATCACAAAGAGTTCCAGTATCCTTCGAAAATCAATCGTTTGATTCCTCCAGGCTTATGGTAATGCATGAAAAATTTATGCATGTACTGTGATCGATTCAAAGATTCTCATCATCTTCGGGTACTAATATGAGACTTAATGAATTCATTGCTCATCCTCCATTTACAATACATTTTTTTCCTTGGCACAAGTTATGACCTCAGTGAACCTGATATAAAGCTTATAATACGTTTGCAGCGTTACTGAGCTTCACACAGCATATTTTAAGTACAAATCTTTTAGCAAACAGAAACAGTAGATAAAAACAGAGCAAGAAGTTAGGAAATTGTGTTGGGGCTTATGAAAAGAGTAAATCCACTTTTCAATGGAATGCGCCACGATTCACCTTTCCCTCTGCGGTAAAATAAAAAATCCGGATTGCATTTGAAAAAGAGCGTTGGATGCCCCTGCAAAGTCAGCTCTGCCTGTAATTGTGATGCTTCAACAACGTCGAGCAAAGACATGGATTTCACCACCGTAAGGAGGTTATCGTCACTGGATGGCGGATATGTGGGTTTCAGCTAGTGGAACTTTAAGAATTATGATATCAGAATATGTATAATAGTTATCGTTCGTGCTTCTGAGAGAATTTGTTTCCGCATTTGAGATGCTTCCAGTATTATATTTATCAGAATGTTGATAAAATAATCGCGTATAATTGCGTGTATGTAATAACATCATTCAAATGTTTGAAAGTAAGGAGTAGGGATTCGAAGAGGTCGTTTGGCCACCGTTCAGCGCCTTTACCTCCCCTATGCCCTTACCCTGCCCTCAGTCTAATCAATCGGAATTTCCTTGGTGCACAACGGTAAGGGAAGGAAGGACCAAAAAGTCATCATCGCTCATACTATAAACAATGCATCTGCTTGAAGCGGAGCCTCACGGAGTTCGAGTGCTCAATACCCAAACTCATCAGAATTAAGGACAGAGTTCCTTTCTGTGCTAGCAATTCACATACATGAGTTTAACTGTTCATCGAACCGGACGAAGACTAACCTTTGAATATAAGCGAGTTGAACGGCAAGATAGCTCCGTTGACGATGCTAAACACAATACCGGTGAGAAGAAAGGCGTAGTCAATACATGAAGCACCTCTCATCTGAAATGAAGTTGGAGCAGATACTTCCAATACATTATACAGATAGCAAATACTTCCAATACATTATACTAGGCCATAGTTGAGTCATTCAGTCATTTATAGCTCTATCTCAGCGAAATAATTTACGGAAGTCGCTCAAGGAACTCACGATGTCAAGAAGTCCAGCCTTACGAGGCTCTTTCTTTCGCTTCGGGAAGTGAACGTTTTGCATGGGACGGATCTTCATTATGACGAGAACGTCTTCTGATTTGACGTGCCAGTGACAGCAGTTTTCAGTGGCAGAACTGTCGTATCAACGGTAACCGTGCATATATTAGAGTTTTATAATCGAGTGACAAGTTTCTCCATAATTTATTCACAGCGAGAGTATTATGCCTGTAGAAACATAAACGCCACCAACCAGACCATAGGAACTCTATGACCCTTACATAGAGGTGATGACGAAATCCGTACGATGTGCCGCAGGAAGGACTTGCTTCAGATCTCGGCTCATGAAGACTGTGGAGCCGTTGTTGAACCCAATATCCGGCTATGGCGTAATATCGTGGCCAGCCCGTGGAGTTTTTCATCCCTTCAATTTGAGTAATCAAGACAAAAAGAGGAAGGGAGCTAATTCGCATATCAGCTGATATCCAAGATTGTTGTGTGATGTGAGCGCATTCGATTTACTGATAAAATAGGAATCGAGCGCTCAAGGCTCATCCCAAAGGTTATAAGAAGGGAAATGTGATCTTCAGTTCTCATCGGTTGAAGGCACGGGCCGCGACCAGATCCTGAGCGAAACTCTTACCTTTTGTGAGGCAACAGGACCCA